GAGGAAGGGAAATATCCTGACATTCGTTCTTCAGGATATAAGTGTTTTTGCAGTGCATTGACAAAGAAGATACTGTGTGGTAGACCATTTTAGTTTAGTCTGCAAAGCGTGTTACACTATGGTCTGTGGTAATTACATTTTGCTGAGACATCAGTCTCATTCTCTCGTATTGCTGCAGGCCAAAATAGTGAAGGCAGCTTTGCTGTTCAGAGGTGGCTGTGAATTACGTTGTTGGCGAGCTGTACAGTCAGCCAGAGCCTACTATTATAGCTGCTGTCACTCAAGAAGCTGCTAAGGTCATTTTTTTTTTCTTTCGAGGAAGGCAAAAGTATGGCATGGCGGTATGAGTTGGCACGTATTAACTAAACCAGTGAAGTAAATGTTTAGACTTGCATGATATACTTAATTCTTCAGGACAACAACAGCGGTTTTATTGCCTTTAATGAACTGGACACAAGCGGTGCAATACCGGCAAAGGTGCGACCTTTGACCTTTATCAAAGGGGCAGGAGGACACAGCTTGAGCTGTTCTTCACAGAATCACACACAGTCGAGCGTCGAATCCTTTTTGTCAATAAAATAAAAGGGCAACTTTTAATCAGACAGCCGTGACTGTTTGCTCTTTTCTTGCCTGATTAAGCACTCTGTCACTCAAGCTCTACTCCGTTCCACTTTAGAGATCAGCTTTTATTGCCTTCTTGCTAAGTCATCCTGTCGCTTCAGTACAGTCGAGATTCGTTGTAATGTTTGCGCTGCCTCCTAAACTCGGTTCAGCTGCTAAAGAATCTACTAAAGGCCCTTCTCCATGATGTCCTTGAGCTCCAAGGTAGAAAAAGGTGCCTCTCTGGTGCACAGTAATGCCTCCAGATGAAGCCAGCTTGCTGTCAAGACCAATATATCTTGATAACAAAAGCAACATCTGTCTAGTTCAACCTCAGTGAGGGGGCACTCAGACGTCTCCTCTCCACTCAGGTAGGAAGGTGTGTGTGTCACCGAGGTAACGAGAACAGATGAGAGCTTCATCCTCTAAATCTCAAAGTTATTGTGTTATCAGAGGAGGCAATATGAAGCGGCCTTCAACAGAAAGAGATTCTTCACAGCAAACAAGTTTGTTGTGCACAATAATGTTGGTCATTATGTGGCCAGACCTAAGAGCTTTTAACCATCTACACTCTGCGGTTTGCCTGTGGTCCATTAACACAGTGTGCACTGTTTATGCTTTATACACTGTGAGGCTGAAAAGGCAGAGACACATTAAATATTGACTCTGCCGGGGCTTCTTTCCAGCTCTCTGGAATAAGTATTTGGCAAAATTAGGAGTAAAAATTCACGCTTAAGGCTAAGCTTGGTTGAGCTTCTTCCTCCTCCAATTCAGCCACTTTTGCTTATACATGAATTCATACAAATAAAGCAAGTATGATACATCGTTAGTGTAAGTCTGCAACATCTGATCCAAACAGTAGATGATCCAAAAGAATAATATTAGCATTAATTATCATTAATTCAACAACCTTTTCAAGGATCATTTCTCTCTTTCCTCTACCTCCAGTTTGCTTCTACACTTCATGACGGTGTAGGCTGCAGATTTATGACACTATTTCCATGCCCTCTGTACAATGATGTAATTGTTACTACTACATCCCTTTATAGCCCAGGTTTATAGAGACCTCTTGCAACTCTCATCAGCCATCTTAACTAGTTAGTTATAAACATGCCATGAGCTACATCTCTATTACTATTTTCTCCTGCGAGCGCTGCCTTGTGCTTGGTGCACAATTGACAAATGGTTCACAGCACTCGTCTTAACACCCACAGCTGCCGTCAAACCTTGAACTAAATTTTTCACAGCCTGGAGAGGGAGGGCAAATGGGCTCGTGGAGTTTTTTTGGCAACACTGTGGACTTATTACTTAATGGCTTTCATATTCACGCGTTGGTTTTGCATACAACAGAAGATTTTTTGGGGTGTGTAGCGGGGTCATCAATTCCTACCTTGAATGCACCACTTTGTTAAATTAAAGAGGAGGCAACACATTTGTCAAGAAACCAGCTTGATTATGTGCGAGAAGAGATGACACCCGATGAGATATTAACTTACATCGTGACCCGAGGTCATGAGCCTCCATATCACATTCAGAGCCCGTCTTTTACACTGATGGAGAACAATGTGCTTGGAGATTGATTAATAATGTAACCAGCGAACTAGTCCTATCTCACACTTCTGCAGTCCTGAACCTGTAGTTCATAGCTTCACCAACCCGCATCAAAACTGCACAAAAGAAATACACCAAAATGGCATTGAAAGCAACTTTCACAGACACCTAAACACTGTTAAGATCTGTTCTCTTGGAATGTGAAAAGCCATCTTCTCAGGTCATTACAAAGATGCTACTTTAAGTATAAATTTGGTTAAAAAGGTTAAAAAGACGCCATTCCTCTTCACCACCTCTGCAAACCCCAAAATTGGCAGCTTCAAGGCGATGGACTAAACACTGTTGACACAAGTAGGAATTACAGGTTTTGACAGATCTTTTAGGCCTTTCTCTAATCAACATAAAATTGCTCAGTGGGTAAATTTAAAGGGCCTGAACACTCTTTGCAATAAACCTCAGCCTAAAGCACAACTCTTTCTGTTTTACTTTTCAACTAAATCTAGATATAAGGGCACATCTGTTTAAAAGCCAAGGACTGGCTCAGTAGACAAAGCACAGAATCCAAAGACAGTTCGTAGATGGTCTTGGGAGTAGCTTTGTACTGTTTCAGCTAAACAGAAGAAGAAGTTCCTCGTTGGTCTTGTTTTTATCTGTTAGGAGCACTGTCCGTGAAGTAAATTCAGAGATAACTTCAGCAGTGCTAGTAAATAAAAATGTCTGTTGATCTGCCAGTTGGTTCAGACTAAGATGTTTCTCAGCTGGATTAAGAGAAGTGTAGTGTAGCTCAGGAGTGTCAAACATTAGGCCTAGGGACCAAATCGGCCTGGTAAAGACTTTGGGAAATTTGAAGGTTTGCATAAAAGCTGGACTTTTAACTGCATTTTCATAAATTTTACAGCTTTTCTTACTGATAAAGACCTCCTCCATGGTCATTCATAATGCACCAAAGTAATTAAGTAATAGATAAACAGATAAATGCAAGAAAATGTCCAGTTTTCTACTGTCTACTGTAGAAATGTAAGGTTTTTACAACATATCCACAGTAAAAACAAACAAAAAAGCTAAAGCAAAGCAAACGTCTGACATATTTTTTGTCATACTTTCCTTATATTAAGAGCTCTTGGTATAAAAGTGCAGTTAAAGTCGTCACAGTAACAGGAAGGAGAGTGTCGCTGGGCCTTCTAATCTGAAAATTACTTGGGTTGTGGGTGGCACATGATGTAAAATAAGTTTTTCGTCCTTGGTGCAAATGGTTCAACCTGTTGTTGGGGATGAGTTTCCCATTTGAAGGGAGATATTGCCATGACAACTTCTCCTCAGAATGAGCAGAACAATGTTGAAAAATTCCTTTTCCTTTTCATCCATCTTTCTTTTTTTTGACCTATACTGAGGATTTTGAATAGCTAAAAACTACTCATCAGTGTGCTATGCATTGTGTTAAAAGCTAATTAGTAACAGCCAAAATGACACAAGCCGAGCTCCTTTTGAGGCTGCTTGCTGCAGAGCAAAAACACTGTGTTGTTGTCCTGAAGACAGCTAGCTTCATGTCCAAACTTAGACCCTCACGTCTTGCATGTCCAGCGTCCTACAGTGTTCTGAGGCTCTTGGTTGCCTGGGTAACCCACAAGACCTAATGCTGTATTTCCCAGGTTACCCTCAGATTGTCCACAAGCGCGGGGTGAGAGCTCGACTCATGAGGCTCTTTCCATGCTCCACAGCCAAAAAGCCATCCTCCACTAATCAAAGCAAGTGGCTCTTCCAAGGCTTTCTCTCCCTCTCTCTCCCTTCACTCTGTCTCTCTGATGATTTTGTTGCTGTTGTCTAAGATGTTCTTTTGTTTCTGTGTCTTTTCTCAGCCAGTACAGGCTTTAGTCACACATGATTGACGGAGCTGCATTTTAGCTGCAACGTGAAATCTTTTCTTTCTTTTCTGAAGGGAATAAAAATGTTTTTCTGCTGTTCACAGTCAAAACTGTCATCTTTCACTGAAACAAAACACTCGCACATTGCAGATTAGTTTCGTCGTAATTGTGTCGTAACAGTGACGCGAAAAAGAATATGTGATGCTAAACAGGTCAGGTGAACAGAAATTTGTTAATTACACCGCTGTAATGCTACAGTTTCTGGACTAATATGATGATGAGAATGAGATCAAATAGCCATTTTTATTTCCTTTATATCAGCTGACATCCCCCAACGGATGCGGAGCTTTTGTTCCATAGCAACAGGTTAATTATGGTCCGTTTAAAGATTTGGCCTTTTGACTGTGGGCCGTAATAAGCCTCTTCGAGCTAATGAGGCACTTAGTGTGTCACACTTCAGGTATATGAGAGACCCTGCACAAGACAAGTCAAACGCTGTGCTGTGAGGACAGTGCAGTCGGTGACAGTGCCCAGACAGCATCTGCTATCATTAAAGGCCCATTAAAACATTTCACAGGGTTCAGCTACCCTCTTTCATGAAGAGGCTCTCTGCCACGAGGGCTTGTTGTGTTCCAGGGTCTCAAAAAAACTCTAATTACCTCTGCTGTCATGTTTGTTGTAGAGAAGAAAAGAGCATTCAGATTTTTTGTTTGGTTTTGTGAAGGGTCCGATAAAGGAATGTGGCGTGTGAGGCAAAGAAAGGACTTCAGAACTGATCCGCTTGAATGGATTTTCCCATGAGCCAATAACATTTTGTAGTAAAATGTTGAGTTCTGGCATTGTGAATGGAGCTTTTTGTTGTTTTTTTTTGTTTTATTTGATTATCTATTTGCTGAAAATGTAACAAGATAGCTAAAATTCTAGTGTCAAAAATACAAATTTGCAAGGACGCGTTTCATGTCTCACCTTGTTCTTTCTCCTCTCCAGACAGCGTCGAAGACGAGCTGGAACTATCGGCAGTCCGCCATCGCCCAGAAGGCCTGGAACAACTCGAAGCACAGACGCGGTTCTCCCGAAAGGAGCTACAGATTCTTTACCGCGGCTTCAAGAATGTAAGTGACGAGGCCACCATACATAATGTACACCTTGGAATGCTTTGTTCTTTCTTGGATATCTCTTTTTTCTTCACATCAAAAACATTGTTTTCCTTTTGATTTGATTTCATGTATTCTTTTACAACCTGCTGTAGTGAGCAAGGGTGTTTCCACCCAAGTCTCCTGAAGCAGCTCAACCTGCATTAAATGTTAAACTGTCCAATAGTGCTTACCACAGAAAATTTAAACTTCGGTACACGGTTCACTGTGTCAGAGATAATGAGGTCATACCTCAACCCTTCCACCCCCTTCCAGCTTACTTCTTTGTCATCTCTGGTGTGAGGCATAATAAGATGACCCAGAATTAACCCAACCCAGATTATCTGGCTGTGAAAGAGGATAGTGAGAGTCCTGTGATGGTGTTCCCGTGAGGCTTCAGTTTCCTGTTGCCTGCACTGTGCTCTAGCCAAGTCCCTGCAAATCTTTCCCATTAGTTCATTTCCACTGGAGATGGTGTAAGAGGTAAGAAGTGTTCTGATCAGGGCTTTAATTTGTGCTTCACGCTGCCTGATTTCACAGCGTTTAAAGACATTCTCTATTTTGCCACTGGAAGGGATGAAGTGATGAATCCAAATAACTCAGGTGGCCCCTTCAGCTTTCTTTGAGCACCAGGAAAAAGGCATACATATTAATTTGCCCCTCTGGGTGATTTATCAGGAATATATGCAGAATTTGTTAGCAAGGGACATAATTTCCATTTGGTACTGGAAGTGTTCTGGTTTTCGTTTTTTGTCGGCTCATCGTCTGAGTACCATATAATGCCACCTTTAAGCAGGTCTTGGTTGGATGGAGGTAAGCAGACAGTGTGGACAGCAAAACAAAGATTGCAACTGCTAAACTGCAGTCATGAAACCATTGATATCATCTGACAACAATTCAACAAGAAGTCTTAGCCCAGAAGTTATCAAACTAGCCGATGGCTTTCCAAACAGGTCACTTCCTGTTAAAAGGGAGTTTTTCCTTCCCACAGTCACCAAGTGCTTGCTTGAAAGGGATTATCTGATTGTTGGGGTTTTCTTTCTGTTATTGCAGGGTCTTTAACTTACACTAGAAAGTACCAAAAGGCAACTCTTCTGATTGTGATTGAACACTATATAAATGGAGGTCATTTATCCCCTTTGCCCTTTTTATTTTATTTACTTCTTCTTAGTACATGGGGATATGTCCGACCTTCCACAACGCGCAGTATCATTTCCTAATTCTCCATCTGCCTTTTTAAAATCTAAACTTTAATTTTAAATTCAAATTTAAAAAATGAAATTCACATGATCCTCACTGTGTTTAGCTTGTTTGCTGTTTAGAATAGTAAAATATTGGCATGTTAGCATTTACCTCTGTACATCAAAGAGCCTCAATACAGCCTCACTGAGCCACTAGCATGGTTATAATGTTTTTAGTGTATTTATTCATTTATGTATTGGAATAGGAGGTCATCGTCTCTGTTTACTCAGTTGCTCCTGTCTACTGTGGAGTTAGATGTGGTTGAACTAGGACCCCAAACTGGACAAAGGGAAAGAGTAATGACGCTTAAATTACAGCTATTAAATAGCTTTTGTCCATCACTAAATCTAGAGTGTGGCTCATTTTTTAACTTCTGGGGTCAAACAGCTCATCTTGTCTTGCCCTATCCCAGTGACATTGGCAGAATGAAGGAAAGCTTTTAAGGCGAGCCAGACTAATAGAAGCTGGCATGATTCCCATGATGAGAAGTTTGGCCCTTTGTCCTTGGTATCCAGGGTTTTGAAGCAAATCAAACTTCTCCAAGTTTGATTTGGTGGAAGGATGAGGTCATCTGTCTTGACAACAGACATTACAAGTTATTCACTTGTAGCACAAGTGGTGCTTTGTTTTAGATATAACGCTTTGTCGAGCAGGTCTCGTCTACCAAATGAAACCTCTGGTTCTGGGCCTTGATCTCGAGGCAGAATTTGAGCAAGGGGTCACCTTAAAGGTTTGAGAGAATTTATTATTTTAAAAAAACAAAACCTTGACCTCAGACTATAGAAAATAACACAATATTGTCCTCACGTCTGACTGAATCTTCTGAGCTTTCACAGTTCACAGTCCAGGGCACTGACTTGGGCATTAGATTAAGATCTCATACTTTCGATGCCATCAGTCACGATTCGTCTGTTCGTAGGTATATTTCATTCCCCGCACTGCTTATTGCCGCCTCGCTTCATGGGTCTCCAAAAGGAATTTCATGCCTGGCCAGTTTTGCATTTGATTGAATTGGATGTGTGATTTTATTATCATGGATGAGCTAATTTTACAAGCATATCAAATGAATACAAATAAACTTTCTGATCTCTCAGTCCGTCTAATGAGAACGGCATTGAACAATGTGCAAAATCAAAACAAAACAAAAAAACAGGACAAAGGGAAACAGTGACTACGTTGGTGATCATCCTGGAAAATGTAACCCATGTTTTTCTAGTTGCTTTTTTCTTTTTCTTGAAGTCTTGATCTATAAGTGCATGAGCAAATATTTATGAATTGAGTCCTAGCAGGAAAAATAAGCTAATTAATTTTATTGATATGTATGTAAATGTAAACATTTAGATATTTGTTATATCTTTAATTTGGTGATATGTTCATCTGTTGTTGGGACACAGATGCATACTTTATGAAAATAAAATGAACTCTGGCTTAATGTTATATATGTATATAATATAAAATAAATGAGTTCCTGACTTTTAGCTCAGCAAGATCAAAGTTTTCCTTGATGGGACCTAAAGTCAAAGTGTAACTATTTCTCTGAACCTGAAATTGAATTGCAGGGGCGCTGCATTGCATGTGGTAATAAGATGACGCACAGGCTCCATTCCCAACTGAAAAATAGCCTCGCTCACCAATGTCATCATCAGGCTACAAAGAAACGCTGATATACAATCAGTTGAATTCTGCCACGAGAGTGAGACTCGCTCCAACAGCTTTCACTGGGTTTTATTTTTTCTGCAGCTTTTTAGGATGATTTGCAGTAGAGAGAATAGAAGAAGAAGTGTGTGTGATGCACAGACACACACAGGTGCAGCCATGCACATACTCTACAAGTCAAGTAGAAGTCCTATTAAAAAAAAATCCAAATCCCCCTGCTTACTATATTTATTTACAGAGCACAACTACAACAAGAGGTTGACTGTTGAGAGCGTGTTGTCTGCACGGTTGTAGAAGATAAACAAAGCATTAATTAACAGCTGCTCTGGTAAACAACAGAGAAATACTGTCAAATACAAAGATGCTACAGTGCATTTTGTCTTTATGGTGGATATGCGTGAAGTCCCTGCAGGGACAGAATTTCTACATTCCTTAAGAAACTACAGATAAAAAATACACAGCGTTACGTAAAAATCTTGATCCAACCCTTACTTCTTTATATTTTAGTATGAAAATGGGAAATTAAATAATAATACAATAATAACAATTTATTGAAATGTGTGCAAACATATCTAGAAAAAAGCATATAAGGCAAAAACAGACAACAACCCTGATGAGCTTTATTTGGTGTGACCACCTTTATTCGTCAAAACGGCCTGAACTCTATGAGGAAGTTTCTTGTAATTTCTTTAGGTAGTCTTCAGGAATAGTTCTCCAGACTTCTTGAAGGACATTCAAAGCTCATCTTTGGAGGTTTCTGCCTTTTGTTCTGTTCCCCATCAGCGTGATCCCACACTGCTTCAATTGTGTTGAGGTCCAGGCTGGGGGGAGGCCAATCCATGACTTTTTAGTTTGAGTTTCATTGTGTGTTCATTTCATTGTGTGTTGGCAGTGGGTTTGGGATCATTCAACAATCAGATCAGATGCTTTCCAGATAGTACTGCATGGTGGAACCCAATCCAACCGTACTATTTCCATCAATTTTGACAAGATCTCCATCCCAAACAAATTTAAACAATCATTTTAAATTTGGATTTATCCAAAGATCTGTTACTAGTGATTACCAGTCCAGTTCTTATATAATTTGACGTACTTCAGCCTTTTTTCCCTGAAACCTTCTTTCCCCCCTGAAAAATCTTTTTTTTTCTCTCAGTGAATGGATTTTTCCTCTTTCTTAAAAATGTGACCTTTTGATTCTTTATATTAGATGTAGATAAATTTTTTTTAAAATAGATGAACAGATCACAGAAAGCTTTTCCGCCTTTCATAGTCATGTGCGAAATACGACTGTATAAATGTCTCGCAGCCCCTTGGTGTGCGCACTCACAACAATGGCTGAGCGTAATTGTGCGGACGTATTTTACCTCCACAAACAGCTGAGACGTGGTTTGCGATAATGTGGCAAAAAAGTGAGGTGTTGCGGCCATACTTGCCAACCTTGAGACCTCAGAATTAGGGAGACATTCAAAAGGGCTGTTGGGGGGTGATAAATACATTTTACAGTGTTTATTTATCGGATAAAATACGTTAAATGTCACCGTTATTATTGGCCGGCCCGGAAACAGCGGGGTGTCCAAATTCAGAGGCTGCTTCCACCTGAGGACCCGGCCTTCGCGGTCTAAAGAAAGCCGGGTAGTACGTCACGAGCCCTCGGTGGAGTGAAACTCTGCCGTCTGCTCCTTGCTATCTAAAATATAACCGGGCGCTGGCGTAAACTCTCGACCGTCTCACACTTTCTTTAATTAGTTTTCTGTTTGATGTTTATTCAGCTGTGTGAAAACCCCGGAGGAACCCTCCTGAGGGATTAATATTAATTTAATTTAATCTAATCTAATAACTTTAATCTCAGCCAAACCGATTTACTCACGAACAAATAAAACACTGAAAAAGCCAAACAATAACATTTTTAAGTTATCAAAGTGACTTATATATCATGTTTAACCCGAGTAGCGAAAGACCGCGGGGGTTTGAAGACGATGTGTCGGTCGGCTCAGATATTTGAAGTTTACACAGCTACATTCTCACCTGAAAATATGTTAAAAGTTTTTTTGCGACCCAGAAAGAGAAATAAGAGTAATATTAAAACTAAGTAGCTGCCGCCATTGTTGGAAACTGGAATTGGCTCGGCTATGAATTCTGCGATATGGTTTTTCAATTTTGTTGTCCAGGTGGAAATTCGGGAGAATGGTGGCTCCGGGATTCTCCCGGAAAATCGGGAGGGTTGGCATGTATGGTTGTGGCAACACTCACTAACCTTGTCAAACACCTCAGAGTAAATCATATCACAGAATATGACGAGCTATTTGGATCTGAAGGGAGACAGGGAAGGGCTGCAGGAGAAGGCCACGGAGTAGTGGAACAGGGAATGCTGCTAGGGCGAGACAGACGTCTCTCACGGAGTCCTTTAGTGCTGCAGGCAGGCAAGGTGTTCAAATAGCCACAACTTCAGTTTTTTTATTTCTATATGATGAACTCTGCATTATTAAGTGATAAGAACAAGTAATCTGATGTCCTGTAATCATTATGACGCTATAATTTGAGATACAATAAATAAAATACAGTTTTTGTAAAAGTATCGGTATCGGATCAGTATCGTCGATACCACCCTGAATATTACTTGGTATCGGATCGGAAAGGAAATCAGTGGTATCGCACATCACTAATGTTAGCATGCAAGTCATTCAGCAGCTATGGCAGTAGTCAGACCTGGGTGTGGCTGGTAGATTGAACTCAGCTTTCCAAAAAATGGAGAGTCACAGTTAATTAATGAGTTAAGAAGGGGGGCAAATACTTTGTCACATAGGGCTAAATTTCACTAAATAAAAAAAAAATCATCATTTAAAAACACTTTGTGTTTGTGTTGTAATTGTTTGATCATCTAAAACAGCGTCCCCAACCCCCGGGCCTCGGACCGGTACCGGTCCGTGAGTCGTTTGGTACCGGGCTCGCGAGAGTTGAGGCTCAGGTGTGAAATGTATGGTTTTCAGGGTTTTTTGTTACTTCGTTTTTATCGTTAACTCGGTTTTCCTGGGTCTTTTCACGTGTGTTATGAATAAATCTTCTTTTTTTCGGTACCGGTACTAGTTTTATTTTGTTGTATTTATCCGCGACACCTTAAAGGCCGGTCCGTGAAAATATTGTCGGGCATAAACCGGTCCGTGGCGCAAAAAAGGTTGGGGACCGCTGCTTAAAACATGCAAGTGTGACAGATATGCAAAAAATAACTTTTCACAACGCTGTTGCTTCACATTTAACATCCACATATCACAGCAATGTCATACTTTTCTAAGTCAAAAAGCACTAATTGTTTTCTTTGCAGCTGCAGTCTTTTGTTTTACCAGGAATAAAGATCAATACTTATAAATTAACAGCCTGAATATTTTTTCCTCAATCCAGGCACTGTGACCGTTATAATTAGGTGTCATTTATTCCAACCATGATGGAGAGTAATTTTCCTCATTGTACATCATTATAATTCATACACGCTAGTCCAAGCAACGACTTTCAGACTTCACAAATCAGGTTAGAGCCTGCCAAATGACAACGCAGAGACAGACTTGTGCACATTCTGTCTCCGAAACTTCTTTCTCGCCTCACCCTGCAAGATATTCAGCTGAGTCTGTGAGACCAAGGAGGAGGAGGGTGTCAGGGGACTTGCGCAGACAACCTTGCAGCATCCTCTTAACTTGAAACACAAGACGCCTGTTTGAAGCAAGACGATGAAGGTTTCGTCTTTATTTTCTTCCCCTCGCCGCACTGTTTCCCAAAGTGGCTGATGAGACGTGGTCACGGGAAGCAGGAAACCCGGCGTGCCCTTTAATTCTAGCGAGGTTACTCGTACTCAGAGAGCCTTTTAACGTGTCTACTTTTGACTTTCGTGAAAGGGAATAGAATATGTTGATGTTGATGCAAGTTCACAAGCACAATGTAGCTTCAGAAGTCCTTCTATCATAGAGGTGTTCGCATTTGCATCCACACCGTGTTTTGTTTTGTTTTGTTATATTTGATTTCCAATAAAAGCCCTCGCTGCTGTTGGCTATTTTCTTCCATAAAATACAGAGAAACACGAGGCTCCTGCCCTGGAAATTGCCCATGTAGGGGGTAACTTTCTAAAGTCAATACCCCGTCAGCGTGTGCCGCAGAATCGAACCTGTAAAACTATTTGCCTCCATCACCACGCTGCTCCAAGCAAGGTCATCCGCTACTTTGATTGTTTGAAAAGAGACACACGCACAATTCTTGGGTATGTTACTATTCAGTCTTTTCCACTGAATGCTGCCAGATAACCACAGGCATGGACGAGATAGCTGCTGAGGATTCGATGGTCAGTCACTGGTGGAATATGTTGTTTTTCATTTAAAGACATCTTCCCACTGCTAGCCGACTTTGTCGTTCTCAGAGGTGCCCTGTTTTTAGTGAGACGTGACCGTGATTGGCACTATGTGAACTCAAGTTTAAGGCTAGGACTGTAAACATAGATGTCAGATAACCTGCGCATCTCCATTTTGTCTTGCAGGAATGTCCCAGCGGGGTCGTCAACGAAGACACTTTTAAAGACATCTACGCACAGTTCTTCCCGCAAGGAGGTCTGTGCCTGCTGCTTTGTTTTCCCAGCATGCTTTCCCTTTCCCAGGAGCTCCCGCATTCATGCGTGTTTACAAAAATTGCACTAAGTCCGGAGTACGTTAGGTTTCCTCGCCTCCCATGAAAACACAGTGTCGGTGAGAGGCAGAGGGAGAAGAGAAGTTTGTATTCAGGCAGCCTTGAGTTTCTCTCTGTTGGCTCTCATCATTATGCAAAGATTCAACCCGAGGAGGAACAGAGGAAACATTAGGAAGCTTTGATATATCTGTTCAGAGAGAAGAAAGGCAGGCCAGTGAACATAATGGCACAGCACAGAGGAAACAATGATAAAACCCTCAGCTCTAAGCACACTGTTCTTCCCTCTCATCGCGAGCCTGTTTTCTTTGAAGTGGAAAAGAAAAAACAGTCTCCGCTTTGAACCTTTTTCTTGTTTGCAGTAGCCACCACTGCCAGCGAGCCGTAATCACGACAGATGTTCTGTGATTGGTTGTTTGTTCTCTCCATAGATGCCTCGACATACGCACACTTCCTGTTCAATGCTTTTGACACGGATCACAATGGCTCTGTGAGTTTTGAGGTAAGCCCAGAGTTGCCAGATCGCTCATTTCTCAGTGTCTTAAAACTCGACCAGTGAGTGGGTTCGCTGTCGAAAAGGCGTGCGCATCAAACGCTCCTACAGACGAGGCTTTACACTCGATCATTATGTAACCTGCAACCCCCTTTATAGAAAAAAAAAATCTAGCCTCATCAAGTTTACTCAAGATGCTCAACATTTGATTAATATTTATGAAGGGCACTTATTTGCTTATTAGGACAGAACAGGGAACAGCTGTCATTATGCCAAACAAAGTTTCCCTGCCTAATGTGCGGTCCACTCTGTTCTGAAGTACGAGATCTCCCTGAGGACTGACACTGAGTCGACTAAACATTTGAATAATGAGCTATTTTTGATTTATGATAGCTCCACTTTTGCCGTTTCATCATTTTCCTCTAATGAATACGTGATAGAGGACGGCATCCTCACAGAAAGGGTGGAATCGGTTGAAGTGCCTCACGTAGAAAGTGTCTCATGCGTCGTTGTTGAGTTAAAGCTGTGATGTTTTGCACATTTGTCAGTAAGTTGTGTTTCCATTACAGGATTTTGTTATGGGTCTCTCTATCCTCCTGCGTGGCACAGTCCAGGAAAAACTCAACTGGGCCTTCAACCTTTATGATATCAATAAAGACGGATATATCACTAAAGAGGTACGTCTCCTAAAAACACGAAGGTCACAGTGCTGGGATATTCGTCGTGTTTCACGCCGCATGCTTTAGTTAATTCACTTACATGTTGTTGTACAGGATGTTCACGATTCGTCGATTTTGATCGAGCACAGCGCTACGCCAGTTTGCATTTTGCTAATGTTCACATTGAGCCTGCAGACTGCGCTCGATTTTTGTACAGTAAAGATCAAAATGTAACAGTTAAACTGAAGAAAACATCCTCCCAGGAATCTGCCTCTGTGGGTTAACATTGACATATCCTCCTCCTACTGGCTCACTAAGCTTGTCAGTGTGAAAGCACTCAAGCATTGGAGTTCACAATACTTAAAATAAAAGTTCTTAGGAAGAATTAGCTGTACTGAAAACAAACACTGCCCTCTTATGGTTGAGTTGCAGTACTGTTTTCAGTCCGTGTACTGAGCAGGTGTCTCCAGTTTGCCGCTCCAGAGCCACATTTGGCTCTTTTTGCCATCTACTGCGTCAAAAGTAGTTTGTGTCAAAAGTACTGCCAGTGTGGCCTGACTACATTTACAGCTTAACTAAAACTACCCTAACCTTTAATTTTATTCTTTACTTTCACTATTTTTAAAGCTGTCGAGCTGCCATATGTTCATTAACAAAGCTGGCTCCTTTTAATTTAATTCAAACGCAGGGATTAAGTCAGCCCGCAAACATTTAAAGCCACTTTTTTCAAAGCCGGCCTAAACAAGCTAATAGTATTTTCCCTGCACAGTTGTTTGTTTCAACTGCTGTAGCCCATCTGCCTCAAGCTTCAATGTGTTGTGTGTTCAGAGATGCTCTTCTGCGTACCTTGGTTGTAACAAGCGGTTATTTGACTTATGGCCTTTCTAGCAACTTGAAGCAGTCTTGCCATTCTCCGCTGACCGCTGACACCACCAAGGCAGAGAACTGCTGCTCACTGCATGTTTTATCTATTTTTGGCTAATTCTCTGTAAACTCTAGAGATGGTTGTGTGGGAAAATCCCAGCAGATTCTGAAACACTCAGGAACTGCTAAACTGGTCTGGCACCGAGAACCGTGCTAAATTCAAAGTCACTGAAATATGAATCAACTTTCTCCTCTGATGCTCGGTTTGAACTTCATGGTCCCATCTTGACCATGTCTATGTATCTAAATGCATCGATTTTCTGCCGCTTGATTGCTTGATTAGACTTTTGTGTTAACAAGCAGTTGAACAGGTGTCCCTAATAAAGTGGCCAGTGAGTATATATGTATATCACTCATTAGGATGTTGATTCAACACTATAAGTAAAGCTGAATAATGTAATAATGTAGCGCAGAAATCACAAAACAACATAAAATAGTCGCCATCCTTAAATTCTCAGGGTTGTTATTCGAACTTCCTGCTCCTTGAATGTGTTTTACGGGGACCTGAAAGAACAAACAGTCCCGGTGCAAATGAATGCTCTGTAATGCAACACGTGCTGATTAGCATAACAGCTGAGGCTCAGGGCCATTCATTAAAATTATTTTTTTTCTGACGCTGACCAATAATTCATCCTGAGACACGACTCGTGCATGAATCCAGTCGCATGTAAGATATGAGTGAGGGCACAAGAACTGCTAGCGAGTAGTCAGTGCAAACTGAGTGTAAGATGTTGTATTTATCTCTGTTATGTTTTCCGCGCATCGCAGGAAATGCTGGACATCATGAAGGCCATCTACGACATGATGGGAAAATGCACATACCCCGTCCTCAAAGAGGAGACGCCCCGTCAGCACGTAGAAGTATTCTTTCAGGCAAGCAGGCAGTTGGCAGATTTTACTGTTTTATGTACGAGGCTTCAGAAAACCTTCATATCTCTCCTTTTGTCTGCCTCCAACAGAAGATGGATAAGAACAAAGACGGCGTGGTAACCATAGACGAGTTCATCGACTGTTGCCAAAACGTAAGGCCGATCCCCAGAACATCAGCTCGCACTGCTGCTGGCACAGTCTCAGCACCGCTCATCGTATTGTCTCTTATTTTGTATCCTCAGGATGAAAACATCATGCGATCGATGCACCTCTTTGAAAACGTTCTTTAATTTTCGGCTGGCTGTGGAGGATTTGGAAGAGACCATCATCTTTAGCTTGGCCCAGTTACTGACTTGGACTCATACTGTGTACAGTGTGCTATGCAGACTTTTTGACCATAGATAAAGTTATTCTTCATTACAGAGGGCCTCAGTTGTAAGTAGGCGGTATAGGCGTGGACACTCTGGAGCTGGTTGCCGCTTTCTTTTAAACAAATTCGGGAAACTTCTAAGTGAAATAGTGAAAATGGATTAAAAGGAGATGCTTCAAAATGAAACCATTAACTTTAAGGTTGATTTCCGCCTTCTGTCTCTGGAGTGTCTTTGTGTTTGCCGAACTCTGCCTAAGACGTCTAGCGAAAGGCTTCAGACAGATTCTGTTCTGTTTTATTTACTGCCAAATCAGATCACTGTGACTTTCTGCAGCATTAGAAACACCCGAACAAAACATCGGGTGTAACGTCACACTCCGTCTGCTTTTACATTCCAGACCGGCTCCCAATTCCAGAGTGTTCCCTCCCGATTTAGTTAGCCATCGTGGTCTGTCTTTCTGCTCTTTGAAGGAACTGTTTAGAGGGGGAAAAAAGGAAAAACAATACATTTTACCATTTTAAACTGTACATACTATAAAAAACATTATTAGATAAGAACTCTTTGAGAAATTTTTGTTCTTGTTTACTTGCCAACTAGAATGAGACAACACAAGGATTGTATTGATGTCAAACTTGGACCATAATATCGATGGTTTGTCTACAGAAGCACACAGGTAGCTCTATTTATGATGTTATACAACCATTTCTTTGTCACAGGAGAAATGCTGCTTTCAGTGGAATTCATTTAACCTCATGTATGTATATTTCCTGTAAAGTAAAATCATCCATCAGTATGTTTTTCTTTGGGTTTTATGAGTTTACACTAGGAGCAGTGCTTGGGATTATTTATAAGGTGTTCAGGTCATTGTACAGTATTACATGAAAAGTCACCCTCGGGTGATTTTCAGGTCTTTAGATTTGTTCATATGAGTCACTGTTTTTAATAAGAAAGGCCAGTGGGGTTTGGTTATTGGTACAAACTTTGTATTATACTCATTAGTTTGGGTTTTCTTGCTGTTTCTCTCCTCCTCCTCCATCCTGTGGGATGCAGCTGCCCACACCGATCCAGCCTGATTGGTTTGATTGGCTCCCAAATGTTAGCAAAAACTACTGGATTATTGTCTCAAGTGTGTCTGAGTGTTTCTGTCTGACATGCGCTCTCTTTTTTTCTTGCTCTTTTTCACAGAGACTTGGATATTAGACACAGGAAGTAGGCAGAAATACGACTTATACTTGAGAGCTGTGGTTTATGGTTAATGTGTCGCAACATTTAATGGTTCATCATGTTTGTCCTTCGAAGTGTACAGTGTGTTTCTACGATGTATCACTGGGAGTCGGGAACATATGAACCTCCTCGGTGAGGCATGTTAATCATCCATAATTTAGTAAAGAAAATGACACTTTTTTTCTCAGCCCTGCTTCTTGTTATTCATGTAAAAGGAGATAGTTTGGTTTTAGCTTGTTTAACTTGCTGTTTGTTAAACCGCTTGTTTGAGTGCGATTTGTATTTTATTTGCAGAGACCCGATGATGAAAAGTAACTTTTATCCACTACGGAATACAAAAGAGCAACACGGTTGATTTGGAAAGTTACAAACAGATCAAATAGTTTGCAGATAAAACTTTTAAAAATCTATTCCATCAAAAGCGCGTCATATTTTAGATCTAAAAGTACCAGGCCACCTACACATTACACCCACAGGAGCGGCTCAGCAATGGAAACCCAAGCCATGAAGCTCCCGGTGCACAGTTTCCGTGCTGATGCTCTGCAACTTCACAATCTGACGCTTCATGGCTGAGCTGCTGTGTTTCCTAAACACTTCCACTTTCCAATAATCCCACTTACAACTGATCGTGGAATATCTTGAAGGGAAGATATTTCATGAACTGACCTGTTGCTGCGGTGGTGTCCTATTACAGCACCACCCTGAAATTCATGGAGCTCATTCGAACCATTCGCTCACAGCCTGCGTGGCTCGGTTATTGATTTCATACATCAATGGGACTGAAAACACCTGAAATGAAGATTAGGAGGCGTGGCCCAAGTACTTTTGACCATGTAGTGTATGTTGTGCTTACTGGTTCTCACTGAAGCCTCCTGGTGGTAGCAATGTGGAATTACACAAGGCGATTGACTTGATTCTTTCTTGCCTGAATGGCATAAACTGGGATATATAATAATATTGTTGTTTAGAGTGTATAGAGAAAAAAAAGTGGATGAAAAAAATGAATCTTGTATTTTGAATCTAACCAAGTGTAGCTAAAATGGATATTGAAGTAGGAGGATGAGCATCAGTCGTGGTAAGTGCTACTATCTCTTTAGCAACAATGCTCTGGTTTAAAAAGCACAGCGGCAATGAGGCGTATGGATATGAAGTTTTCATTTTAATATGCGTCAGAGGGTGATGTAATAAATTGCACTTGTAAACAAAACATAAACGTTCACAAAGTTGAGCAACATTTAAAGACAATAGTTGACTTGGATTTAAAAAAAAAAAAAAAAAAAGGGCATTTAAGGTGAGAAATGAAATCTGGCACAAATTTCCACAAAAACGATCTTTCCAGTCAGATTCCAGCCACTGCTTTCTACATACTTAAATTACCTGAGATAAGTTTGCTTATAAACCAAACAATTATGTTGTATTACACAGAGACATGTAGATTTTATGACGTTACATATATCAACGTAAAAGCAGGCAGATAGATAACATTAATTATACTGATGCAAGTACAGTACCTCTTAACAGAAGGTGACCTTACACTGAATGAAGTGATGATGTTACATGTCATCACTGAACACAAGATTTAATGATTGTGGATGGTTATGCAGTAAGCAGATAGTCCCTTACACTAATGATCAGCCGACACAAACAGTAGCTCGACTGTTTTTACCTGCCATAAAAGTCGGCGTATAAATTAAAACGTGCTGCAGTTGAAGCACAACAGCAGCGCAGGCCCAAACCAACAACAACAAAAAGTCATATATAAATTCCTATGTTGGATTGTTGAGGTAATCCCTCACTAAATATTTTCCGTTTTGAGCACCGACTCTGAGTCGCGCGTAATTGGAAAAGAAAAAGTGTCACTTTTCATCAGACGTGATCTCTATGTAGAGAGGGTTTAGCTGTGTTCGTCTCATTGTGTGCTCAGAGCACCCAAACAAAACGCTATGTTTACCACTGCATGCAGTGAAGCCATAAATGGTCAAAGAATGAGATTTTTGGTGGGGGCATGTGTGAATCGAATGCTTTGAATCACTCGGGGTGCGATAACAGGACCGCGCTTCGGTCCTGTTATCGCCTGTTTCTTTTGTTTCAGCGTTGTTTCTGTTAAATTATGAAATGACGGATACATGCTTTAAACATTTATTGAAATGCATTTTCTGGTCAGACACCAAAAGCGTGATAAAATGTACAAACCTCTGCAAGACCTTTGAATATTGCAAATATTCTCTGAACATCTGTTGCTTAAAAAGAGTTTTAAAAAGTGAAATATACTCAGTCTTCCTGGGAGAGTAGACTAGTGAACGTCTACAGTATGGCCCACAAATAACCCCTTGTCTAATCCAGATCCTATAAATCTACAAAGTAAAATGGGGAAAAACACTTTACCCGATTGAATACACAGTGAGTGTTGTACTGCTTATGCCGATGGGCCTCGTGCCAGAGTGCATTTCAGCCTCGGGCATCGATGTCAGTCCATCACACAGAGTACCCAAGCGGGAAATCCTCAATGTGTTGTCCATTTCATTCCCTTATTTACTTTTAAGTTCCTCATGTGTCAAGTGGTTATTTGAAGATCATACTGTGGGCCACTAAACAATGATAAAGGCAACTTTGGACTCTGGAAGTTGAATTGACGACGGGCTCTCCCTGGTTCCTTGTTTCTTCTTGTCATTCTGTGGCTCATCTTAAAGATTCAAACAGAACCTAATGAGACTGACCCTTAGAGGTTTGCACACGGTCCAGTTGGGGAACCTGAGCCCGAACGTGAGCGGGTTAGGTTAGCAGCTGCCTGATCTCTCGGTGAACGTAGCAAAGGAAGTCCATGTAGGAAGCCCCGCCGTGCAAGCCTTTGTCCTCCACCAGGAACTGACGGAACAGCATCTCCGGTTTGTCTTTCTGCCTCACAATTTGCAGCTGAGCAGGGCAGAAAAGAGAAGTGTGACTGATTTCCAGTACAGCTGGAACACAGGAGCTGTCACACTACAAAATCTATTCACATTGTTTCTGTTGTCACAGCTGGCACGTTCCTGTTTTTGTGGAACATGTTTCTCATCTATTTTATCGAATTTACTTCAGCTTCACTTTAAGGCTGGTGTGTGTGTGTGTGTGTGTGTGGTCCTCTGTGGATCCAGGATTCAAACTTTCTGTATATTAACTGCTCAATAGCACTGGGTGTGCAGTGCATGGGGTCATTTGTACAGTGCTTTCTGTAGATGTACTTTGATTAGACTATTTATATAGAAACAGGGCAAAACATGAATAAATGAATGATGTTTTTGCAACTTTTGGGGGAGTGTATTTACTGTAAAGCTCCACTAGAGGGAAGCAGAGATCAACAAAAGCCTCAATATCGTCTCTGCCTCACCTCAAGTAAACCATGTTCTCTCTGGTTTAAATAGGTTTAAATATAAAGGATGTGAACTGTGTTTAAACAATGCTTTTGGATTGTGTTTCGCTTACCTTCATAGAGTTTGACCTCTTTTCAAGAAGGCCACTGATGATGGAGCGGACCTTCCTCGACAAAGGGTTGTCAAGCTCCGGCAGCGCACACTAAAACAAACAAACAAAAAGCTTTAGTGTAATTAGGAGCAGTTTGATCACTAAAAATAAAGACCAGTCCTAAATACTGCTTGCCTCCTTCCTGTGCCGCGGTACCACATACTGAAGTCTTTGAGTTCTGCCTTGAAAATAAACGTGGATCTTTGATCTCTGTGTGCGGGGCGTACTTGTTTAAAACTTTGAGGTTTACAAAAGCTTTGACTCAGTTTAGCTCATTTTACACAGCAGTGGAGTTCAAGTGAGTCATACTTGATAAAATGTGGGCACAGTCGAACATGACTGAATTATGATGTGCTGAGATGATATCTCAAAACTGGACTTTTACCATCCAGACATTCTCTGACCATACCGTAATGCCGCCAGGCACCGGGGAGCTAAAATGTCAACTCTAATATCTCAAAAACCATTTCATGTGGATTCTGAGCACACTGAGGCCAAAGTGATGAAATGAATGCTGACCATGTGTCCTTGCAGGTGGGCGAGGGAGGGCAGGTTGAACAGGCTCTGGATGAGGTCTGGTGAGCTTGCTTGGCCGAGCCACAGGAACATGGACTGGCCGTTCTCCAGCAGGAAGATGCCAGAGTCTGTGAGACGCTCCTCAGAGCAGCGCACAGGAGTGGCCGGCTTCTCGCTGTTGACGTCTATGTTGTGCTGAAAAACAGTACAAAGGGTTTAGCAACTGAAACTAATAGTGTGCGTCTAAGTGAGATGACCAAGCGCAAAGTGTTTTTATTCCCTACCAGAGGGATGAGGCGTGGGTAGAGCAGCAGCTGGGTGTCCTCCACTCCCATGGCCATGACCGACAGCCTCTGGTGGGCTCTGTCGTCCGTGGAGAGCTCAGTGCTGCCCACCAGGGGGGCAGTTTTCATCAGGCTGTTCATATAGACTGGGAACACTTTCATGGCATCAGGAAGGATCAGCTACAGGTGGATTTAGTAAAAAAAAAATATGGTTAGTTTTTGTTTTTTTATCCTAAAGTTAAAATACACATTGAAACTTCTTTCTAGGTGTGATTCTCCGACCTGGCTAGCAGCGGAGGGGCTGGCACAGTTCTTCCTGTAGCAGGCCAGCATGTGAGCCGTCTGGTTCACCAGGATCTCCCTCACATTCTTTAGAGGCTGGTTCAATATGGCACGGTAAGCTGAGGGGGCAGGACAAAAGATTGGTTAAAAAAAAACAAAGCAAGAGCAGGAGAGACGAAAAACATGGGGGGCGGCTCAGAGGCATCTGATGGCAAGTATGGGGGAAAAAAAGGTAAAAAACCAAAAGGTAACAGAGGTCAGTAACACAGCTGGACTCATGGTCCGCTATGTGCAGATTACAGAAGGACGGCATCATGTGAAACATATGAGTAAAAGTAGATTATTTAGTGATACATGGGATATAATCAACAAATGTCAGATGACATTTGAGTGTGTTAGCAGGCCGTGCCTCTGCACTACATCATAAAATATGTTTCCCACAAGCAGAGTTTGAACTAATGCAGTCCACCTGAACTCCAGAGGAATCTAACCTGATTTGGCAAAGAAGTTGATGAGCGAATCCGTCTCGCAGCTCTTGTACAGCTCTGACAACTGCGAGCTGCAGTTCAGACTCAGGTTGTGGATGCGGAGACGCCGCTG